ATTAATAGTAAAAGTATTGTAACATTTAATGCAGATAAAATATTATAGTTAAAAATACTGAATTCTTTTCAAGTCTATATTACTAACCTTTTTGAGATGTATTTTTACTATTTGATGAAGGTAATGGAAAATTTTTAGTTGGAAGATAGTTACAATTTTAGATTTAGATTTAAATTCAACTAGTTTTATGTCTTTGTGTTGGGTTAAATGAAATAAAATATAGAGTCACCTAACGGCAACTTTTTCAACTACATCACAAAGAAATGATTCCTCTTTCTTTTCTGATAAAAATCTTGTGCTTGAGATATATCTGATTATTTTTCAAGTATTAATTGTTTTAGGTGGATCTTCTACAATAACAGTATTGAATAGAAAGAATTTTTTTGATTTTAAAAAGTCAACTGAAACACATCTTTTCATTTTAAAAAGTTAATTTTAAAGTTTTTTTTGCTTAGTTATAGAAAGTTAGTTAGTAGAAAGCAGTTGAGGTGTCAACACCTCTTCTCACTGAGAGAAAGAANTTGAGTTTTCAATATTTATACTTTGTTTCAACAAATACGATCAAAACAAAATTATCAAACAATATATTTTTAATTGGCTCATAATAAATTTTCTTTTGTGTTTTATTTTAAGCTGAACCATCATGTATTATTATTTTGTATTTTGTGTTTGAAAATAAATAACTATAAGTAAACGTACATTACATGAATTACACATAAAATGTTCTAAATGTTGTCCTCCCTGGCCAAGCTTTGCTGTTTTAACTGCAGATTTATGTAATTTAGGGAAAATTTTTGCATTGTCAAGATTATAATAAATCCGAATTTTTTCAGATTCTATCCAGAATTCCAGTTTACATAAAAATCCCAAAATGGATTTTTTTCCCGCGATCATGGAAACTCTATATACACAAAGAAAATCTGTTGTCAAACATATCAATATATAAACTTGGTGAAAAAAAAACATAATATATCTATGATGCTTTGTCTAAATATATTGTATTTACTCATTTAACCATAAATTGTCTGAATCTCTTAAAAAATGTTGTACTCTGATCATAAACTGTCATTTATATTCCATGCATCAAATGTTCCAACTATGTTCCGTGGGTCGCACTGCATGAAGCGTTATTTAAACCTCGATTGTGGATAAGATCTTAATTAATGATCTAACAAAAATACTAGTATAGACCAGTTTTAGTCAAGGGCGTAGTGGATGCTTAGCCTAGGGGGGTGCACTTTGGGCGCAAAATTTTTTTTGTGCACTCCCTAACGGTTGATGCACCCCCTTATAAAACCCGTATTAGGAAAAAAAATTAAAGCTTAAAATCTATATTAATCTACCTGACTATTAGTCATCTGACCATAATTACCAATCATACCATAATAAAATCTAGTAGTAAAAAAGCAAAAAACTTTGATTTGAGGTAAAAAAACAGCATTTTTTAAATGTTGAAGGGTTGGCTCAGTGCTCAATAATATACCAAATTATTATAATATTGATGGCTTGTTCTTGTGTTTACAAAAAATATACTTCAAACAGCTTTAAAATTTATACTGTCAACAGTTTGTCTAACCCTAACCTGGATCTGAATGAGTTATTTTTTGAGACATGTGCGTGAAGCGCCAAAAAATTTCTGTTCTTTTAGCGTCTTTCATGTATTTCTTAGTGTATCTGAGTCCCTGGCTTAGTCATATTCATTGTATATATAAAGTCCTCTATTACGGTCTACAGCAAATTTTTTAAATTCGTTTTTTAGTCATATTTGTGGACTATAGTCCCTTAATCGTAGGCCTGTGCAGTCCTATGTATTTCCTGGCAGTACTTGACTTTATTTCGTCTGCCATAATCCATAATAGTCTTTCTGATCGAAGTTCCTCTGTCATTGTTTGCCAGTAAGTTCATGTAACTTCTCTATCAGGTTTCCTGTCTCTAAATCTGGTTTAGTCAGGAAAAGATGATCTGGATTCTTCTCCTTTAAATTATCTGATGCTTTTCCCTGAAGTAATTAAACTTGTGAAATCAGCTTATTAGGGTGTAATACTAGTGACTGATAAGATGATTTCAATAGTTCTGTCTTTTAAAATAGGAGTTTTTTACCAATTAAACTTGATGAAATTAGAAAAATTCAAACGGGTCAGGCAATATTTGAAAGTTAAATTAACCATGAAAATTAGTATGCTTTATAAATTTATGCCTTACCTCAGCATTTGGAAAGACTGAAATTGGAATAAGTTTCCAATCCTTAAACTTCTCCTCTTCTCCTAGATATTCTTGAACCATCTTAAAGAAACCTAATCCTTTCTGTAACTGATCTATACAGGAACCACTGACATTTCCAGCTGACTTGACTTCGAGATGGCAGTAGGCTCGATACTCCAGGATTATCACCATGAAATCAAATTCTTGTTGTTCGAGGTGGTGAACAGTTATATCCTTCTTAGCTATACCATCACTTGAGGATGCGGGGATACCTAGGAATAAAACTGGACTGATCATCAAATATTGATTGTTCAAAATACTGAATCTATATTATTAACAATGATGAAAAAATCTAAATTTTTCCCAGGATATGATTATCTCTGATTTAACTAAATATTTGAACATGGCCTGATATCAGGGAATATTAATTTTTTTGCTGTCATACAATTTGTTTAATTAAATGTAAATATCATTGGGAAACCTAATTTTAAATATATCAGAGTTAGTTCTGCAATTATAATGTTATTGTACAATTTTGTATTAATCTTTTCTAAAAAACTATAAAAATCATTGCTATAAAACGAGCAGTTCAGTTTATTTTGAAACATTTTAGCTTTGAAAGGGACTGATTGTACATACATTTTAAAGTTTAAAACGGCATTTAGAGCAANATTGTGCATACATTTTAAAGTTTAAAACGGCATTTTAGCTTTGAAAGGGACCCATTGTGCATACATTTTAAAGTTTAAAACGGCATTTTAGCTTTGAAAGGGACCCATTGTGCATGCATTTTAAAGTTTAAAACGGCATTTTAGAGGAAAATAATTAACCCCCCTTTATTTATGAGCGTAATGACTGTTGACACTTTTTAGTACAATGAAATGCGTTTAGCAGGTGAAAAAGCTATTGAAAATCTTCGGAAAAGGGACCAAGCACATTTTAATTTATTAGACCTACTTGTAAAGGTTATAAAATGTCATTTTGTAGCAAAATATTTCATTAAACATCCCCCCCCCCCATTATTAACATTGTACTAGTAACACTTTTTAGAACAATAAAACAACGTTAGGTGGGCTAAAAAATCTAAACGCTTTTTAAAGACACTCTTTTTATAAATGTTTTTTTTGCTGAAATGTAAAAAGTTTATGTGGAACCATGATAACAATAATCACGCTGATAAAATCATTTTTACAGAATTTTGATACTTGACCATGAATCCCCCATAATTACAAAATTTAAATTCTATGGCAAAATCATTATATTTGTTTTGATTAAGACCAGAGGTCAGAACTTTAGTATTTGTTAGAATTATTTCCATGGATAAAGCAGTTTACAACAAAGATAATGGCCAATTCACAATGGTACCTTTAAATCTTTGTCTGATCAAGCCTGAATTAGATATCAATGTTTAAAATTTTGAAGGAAAAAATACATTATTTTAAATTGTAAGTCTCTAAAAAAGCATGCGTTTCTACTGCAGCTGGAAAACAAATGGAAATTATTAGAATTAAACAAAATACATTTTTTGGAATTTCTACAATTTGAGCAATTGTAATCTGAACGTTTTGCGATATAACAAAATATCCACAACATATTTTGCAGAAGAAAAGACAAATTCAGTAAAAACACAAATTTGATAAAGCGTTTTACGCGCAGTTTCACCTTTCTTTGGGTAAGCGGGTTAGTTAAAACTAATGTTGCACTCAGACCTCAGACTTTTTAAAATTCGTCGGTTTCTTCTTTCGAAGTGAAAGTGAAAATAAGTTTTATCTCCGATAATTCCTTATTTTTGTCCTGCAATATAAATGCGTAAGTCACTTTAATTATGAATATGGATATCTAATTCATACTTGATCGGGAGTAGTTCAAATGAGATAGCATCACTTGATCAGACAAACCTTTTCTAGGGTATCGTTGTGGAGGGGCGTACAATGTTGGTTTAGCCTAGGGGGGTGAACTTAATTGGTGCGCGTAAGTGCAACGACATTTTTTTTGAACCCCCCTATCTGTTGATGTGCACCCGTCTAAAAACCCATATTAAGAAAAAAAAATTAAAGCTTAAAATCTATGTTAATCTCCCTGACTATTAATCATCTGACCATAATTACCAAGCATACCATTATAAAATCTAGTAGTAAAAGAGCAAAAAACTTTTTGTAAAAAAATATTTAATTTTTTTGAGTATATCAGATATCATAAATCATATCAATATCAATCATATCATGACTAGATAACACTGGAGAAAGTATTATTATAGCTTAAAAAACTCAAAATCTAAATATATATGTAAGTTTAATATATTAGAGCCTGCCTCTGGCTCTAGGGGAGGGGGTGCTTGACATTGCCATCCTTGCGAGGAAGATCACTTGATATTATGCTTAGAGTTCATCAAATACTGAAAATAATTTTTTCATGCATCAAGACTACCCATGGTATAGGAGTGTTAATGTTGATTCTGACAATGTTACAAATGTTAAAAAAATTAAACAAAAATAAGAATTTTTACACACTCTAATACTTATTATGACTGATTAGGAGCAAAGTTCAAGTTCATTAGAGTTTTCAAGTTTATTTATTGTTATATTTTCCATTTGAAATATTAAAACATAAAATTTTAGCTAACCCTGTCCCCAGCACTGTAATCAAAACTGTGGAAGCTATTTTACTCTCAATATTTTGATCTATCTATTCTGTTCCTTGTTGATAAAATTCCACTGCAAAGCTTTAATTTAAGCATATTTTCGTCAAAATATAAATTATACAGATAGTGTGACTGATCAAGCTATTGGCATTAATACCTGCTATGAACCATGGAAGCACAGTGTAGAAAATTTTCGTGCTTAAAGGAACGCCCATCTTCCTACAGATATCCTCAGCACCCCAGAACTCCACCAAATTTTTTTGGTTGGTTTTACTCTAGAGAAAAAACACATTAAAAATGTTTCAATGCAGTGTACGTACCTTTGTTTAATGAGTTAAAAAATATTTTTCAGTATAAAAATTTTTGTCTTGCCAGGCCCTTCTAAAAGTATTCAGAGATACAGGGTGAGAGAGAGAAAAAGGCAAACTAGAGAAACTTTAGCCAGGGGTGTATATGGGGGGTTTACACCCTTGCACACAAATTGAAAAGAAAAAACGGAACTACAAGTAACAATAAAGGCCCGCATTCATTTAAACGCTGTATTAACCTGGAAAATGGGGGTTATTTACCTAGCTGGATCCAGATATTGCTACTGGCAGCTTTAAATATACTCCTTAGTAACAAGCAAAGAGAATAGATTATACATGGAGTGGAATTTACTCGAAAAAAAGTAAAACAGCCATTTTGTTGTACTGTTTACATACTGCAGGTGTACTTCACACATTTGTGCTATATAACCTTTTGGGCCCTGGAATATCATTTTATAGAAAAGTTTTCTTGAAAATTATTTGATTTTCTCTAAATCTCTTCTCAAATAGCCTGTCATGCATTCCCGAATTCATTTCAGCATAAGCTTCGATAAAAATCAATTTGATGTTTTTATTTAGTAAAAAACATATTTTTAATTTAATAAAACCAATATTTTTGAAATACTTAAGATACCAAAATATATTTAACAGTAGGACTCATAGAACTGTGAAATGGAAGAAAACATTTAACCAATCTAATTTATGTTTGCTAAGTTTAAGTCTTGTTAGAAAGTAAAACGGCTCTGAGATAGCTAAGGGGCATGTGGAAAGGGGGAAACAACCCTAAAATATTGTGGGAAGCTTCTATATGTAGAATTTATAGATACTTAAATTATATTTTAAGAATGGATTAAAAACATTTTCCCTGTGGAGCACTTAATAAATAAAAAATTGTTTAGTTAAATAAAGATA